AAATAGGGTGATGCTCTCTCCTCTCCTCTGTGCCAGGAAGCCCTTGAACTGTGGGATTTTTGCATCACCCAGTCGATGCACCTAGAGGTGTCACACTAGGAATGCAAAAGGAGCTTCAGCCGCTCGTTTCACAGCCACGAATGGGCCCTCTGGCCAGACATTGCACACTTGATTTTCCAGAAGTGGGGCTCTCCCCACATAAACCTGTTTGCAAAGTGGAGCAACAGGAAGTGCCAGTAGTTCTGCTCCTTCCTGAACCACAGCGTAGACTCCATCGCGGACGTCTTTCATGGACAAGTCACCTGCTTTACGCATTCCCTCCCTTCCGTCTCATACACAGAGTCTTCCTCAAGACTCGCTGAGATGGTGCTTCCTAGATCATCCTAGCTCCAGCATGGCCCCACCAGCACTGCTTCACAATGCTGTTGAACCTCTCAGTTGACAGACTAGTGGCACTTCCTGTATGTCCAACCCTAATCACACAGGGTCACGGCCGCCTGCAACACCCCAGTCTGGAGTCCCTCCACCTCATGGCGTGGAAACTCCATGGCTGACCCCTCTTGAACTTCAGTGTTTGGACCCAGTGAGAGAGGTCCTGCTGGAAAGTAGGAAACCCTCCACTCGTGCCACGTACCTGTCAAAGTGGAAGCGTTTTTCCATTTGGTTTTGGCAAAGGGGAACCGAACCACAGCTAGCTCCAACTTCGCTTACTTTGGACTACCTGTTATACCTCAAGCAGCAGGGGTTAGCAGTATCATCTCTAAGGGTACACCTTGCTGCCTTTTTGGCTTTTCAACCGGGGCAACAGGTGGGTCAGTGTTCGGTAATCCCATGGTGGGCAGGTTCCTTAGGGGCTTAGACAGGCTTTATCCCTAGGTATGACGGCCTGTTCCCCAGTGGGACCTCAACCTGGTCCTGTCCACACTCATGGGGGCCCCATTCGAGCCCAGGGCAACCTGCCCTCCGTCCTATCTCTCCTGGAAGGTGGCCTTTCTGGTGGCCATAACTTTGGCCAGAAGGGTATAAGGCTCAGAGCTCTGACTTCCAAACCACCCTATTCAGTCTTTTATAAAGACAAAGTGCAGCTGTGCCCTCACCCTGCGTTTCTGCCAAAGGTAGTCTCCCAGTTTCATGTGAACCAAGACCTATTTTTACCTGTGTTCTTCCCTAAACCCCATGCCAGTAGCAGGGAGTGCATGTTCTATTCCCTGGATGTTAGGCGTGCCGTAGCATTCTACATTGAGCTCACGAAGCCATTTCATAAATCACCACAGCTCTTTATTGCAATCGCAGAAAGGATGAGGGGGGGCCCTGCCATCTCATCCCAGCACATTTCATCATGGATCATAGATTAGAATATCAGGGTTGGGAGGGACCTCAGGAGGTCATCTAGTCCAACCCCCTGCTCACGTTCTATATCAGGACTTGCTATGACCTGGCAAAAATTCCAGCCCCTTCAATTACGGCGCACTCCACGAGAGCACAGGCGTCGTCCGTAGCATTCCTGGCGCAGGTCCCTATCCAGGACTTATGCAAGGCACCAACACCATCCACACCTTCACGTCACACTACGCCATTACCCAGCAAGCGAGGGATGATGCAGCCTTTGGCAGGGTAGTCCTGCACTCAGCAAGCAGGTGAACTCCGACCCCTCCCCCAGGGAAACTGCTTGGAACTCACCTATTGGAATGCACATGAACAACCACTCTAAGAAGAAAAAACGGTTACCTACCTCTCGTAACTATTGTTCTTTGAGATGTGTTGCTCAGGTCCATTCCAAGTCCCGCCCACCTCTCCTCTGTTGGAGTATTCCAGCAAGAAGGAACTGAGCAGGCGACGAGTCGGCAGGGACCTATATACACTTCACAGCTCACCCGACGTGTACCGCTAAGGGAAAAACCTTCCGACAATCATGCACGTGGCGCGCGCACGTACCTGTTGAAAGGGACATGAGAAACGCATCTCGAAGAACAATAGTTACGAAAGGTAGGTAACAGGTTTTTTCAGGTTTCAGAGTAGCAGCCGTGTTAGTTTGTATCCGCAAAAAGAAAAGGAGTACTTGGGGCACCTTAGAGACTAACAAATTTATTTGAGCATAAGCTTTTGTGAGCTACAGCTCGCTTACTCCTTTTAGTTTTTTTCAGAGTCTCCAAATTCTTCTGTTTTGATGATCTTACGGTGTTTAGTAGATGTTACCCCCAAACTACTGTCTCCCTTTAAAAAACAAAATGCTCTTATGCTGGCATGATTTGAAGGCCTCAGTTCTTACTCTGTGATGAGCATGATCTTTAAAACTTGGAGCTAAGCCCCTACAGAAGTGGAAATATTCAGTATATATATGCATGTGTGTCCTTTTTGTTGTAAGGAAACTACAGAAATGATGCTTAAAATCTAGACAAAGCTTGAAGAAATAGGATGCAGGAGGAATTTTTTAAATCTTGCTGGGGTAAGGAAACAGTTTTCTTGGCCAGTATGTCCTCACCAGCAAAGTGTATTGGACAACCCTTTGTTCGGGGTGAAAGTAACTTAAGGGACTTACCAGTACGCAGGGCAGCCAGGGTTCTGAGTGGGGGCTCAACTGGAAGGGGTGAGGTCTCAGGCAGAAGGGGCAGGGCTGGGGCCAGACTCCCCAGGCCAGCCCTTCAGCGTGGCCAGGCTGTGATTTAAAGGGCCCGGGGTTCCAGGCTGCTGCTGCCAGAGCTACCCTAGGGCTCCAGCAGTGATTTAAAGGGCTGGAGCTCCGGGCCCTTTAAATCGCTGCCGGAGCCCTGGGGCTCCTGGCCACTGCTACCACTATCCCAGGGCTCTGGCGGCGATTTAAAGGGCCAGGGGCTCCAGCTGCGGTAGTGGCGGCCGGGAGCCCTGGGCCCTTTAAATCATCGCCGGAGCTCCATGGTAGTGGTAGCAGCAGTGGCAGCCAGGAGCCCCGGGTCCTTTTAAATTGCGGGGCCCTGGGGAAGCTGGGCCTTTTGGCCCCCCTCATCAGTGGTCCTGCCGGTATGGTTGGCTGTGTACCGGCTCTTACTGGTTGGCTGCATCAGACCGTACCGGCTTACTTTCACCTCTGCCTTTGTTTCTTTCTGTTGCAGCTAGTTAGGGACTTCCTGTGTAGGAACAAGATGGAATGGCATCAGCTGGTAGGAGTCCAGGGAAGAGGTTAACACAGTAATTCCTTTTCCTTACCCCGGAGCCTCCACCTTACAAAAAATGTATTCTCTGATCCGTCTCCTGTGTAGCTCTATCCCGTAGTCAACTGGCCTCCCAGTTGAGGCTGTTTACATCCCACAGATCCTTTCTCCTAGACCTGTGGTCCCCAACGCGGTGCCTGTGGGCACCATGGCGTCCGCTGAGACACATTTGTGCGCCCGCAGGACACCGCACCGCCGACATGCTGCCACCGAGCACGGCCACTGGAGAACTGCCTGCCGAAATGCTGCCGAGAAGCATTGCCGTTTCTCGGCAGCATTTTGGCGGCGGCGTTTGTTGCTGCTGCCGCTTCTTGGCAGTACTTTGGCGGCTGGTTCTCTGGCGGCCGCGCTCGGCAGTGGCATTTTGGTGGCGGGGTGTCCGGTGCCTGCCACAGTCTTCTGGGAATAGCAATAAGCTATTCCCACAGAAAGGTTGGGGACCACTGTCCTAGATTTTAAGTGTAGATCTACACAGAAAATATTTTTTACTTTAAGTTAAGAAAATTTACACATTGCCAGTTACTTTTCAAACAGCCTGATCTGCGAACTCAACCAGGTATCTGAAAGTCTGGCCTGTGCATACAGTTTGTACAGGACACATTATGTCCTCATTTGCACCTGTTTCACAGGTAGGCAGAATTTTGAATGAGGGCAAAACTTGGACACGGTTGGCCTTGCAATTGGAGGTTAGTTAATCTTGCTGCTGATATACAAGCCAGGAAAGAATATGACATTGATATAGCTATGCTGTGTCTGCAGTTATAAGGATAATAAGCAGAGTAAGGTTTTACTAAAATAAGCAGGTATGACTGAGTGTAGAACAGTTGTTTAGAGGAGTAGAAAAATGTCTTAAACTTGTTTTTATTTGGTAGTTAACAGGAGAACTGGTGTGGCAGGGATCTACGTCATCTGATGAGCTGGATTGTACTTGCCAAACATTGCAGTGTATGTGTATGTTGGGGTGGTCGGGGGGAATAAAACCTAGGGCAGCGAGTCTCAGAACCTGGGTCTACAGACTCAAGCTTGTGTTATGGCGCTAAAAATAGCAGTGCAGACATTCCCACTTAAGCTCTGAAGCCCAGCCTGCTTGCCGGATATCGGAGCCTGATCTCTGGCTTGAGCGGGAACATCTCCGCTGCTGTTTTTAGTGCTGTAGACCCAGGCTCTGAGATTTGGTGCTGCAAGGTGGTTTTTTTTTTTTTTTTTTTTTTGCAGTGTAGATGTAAGCTCTCAGGCTTCAAGACTGCAGAGAGCTGTGGTCCCAGTCAGTGTTTGTATGTATTTGTTCAGATATTAATAGACTGTTGAAACCAAATGTTTCCTCTCTTCTTATTCAGCTAGACCACTTATGTCCTGGGCTGCTGATCCACCCTCTCTTCCAACAACACCAGTTATCTTCAAAGCTGGATAACTGATCATTAATTCCAGTAAATATTTCTCAGCAACTTACAAACTCCAGCTGATGACAGGTGGTATTCTCCCAGCACGACTTCAACATTGCTTTCTGTCAGTCTCCAGCTGAGATGCCTGAGCCTCCGCTTCAAAGTCTCAGATTGGCATTGCTTGATAATTTAGACGTGCATACACAATCAGAATAGTATTTCAAACTTTGACATGGTAAAGCTAACAAACACGCTCATCTCAATTATTATAATGGTGTGTAGAATTTAACTCCAGTTACATTTTTATATATAAAAACTTCAAATATGAAAAATGTTCGTATAACAACTTTTAAAGAGATTACTATGTAAAACAAGGTAATGTTTTAATAGTGAATAGATTTTTGATTAGTTGTGTGCATGGCTTTTTCAGAAAATATAATGGTCATATTGAAAATAAACCCCTAACCATTCCTAAGGATATTGATCTTCATCTGGAAACAAAGTCAGTTACTGAAGTGGACACTTTAGGTAAGATAAATTATTGTAATTGGTTGAATGTTATCCCAGATATATTCTGTGATTACAATATGTTCTTTTCTATCAAGTACATATAATTTGTGATATATACTGGAATATTTTTATGGCTAATGAGAATGTAAAAATGCAACTCATTACAAGGAAGGAAATTAGCTGAAAAGCAAGAAGTAAAACTCTTCTCTCGTTCCTTGCTTGATATCTCAATATCTGCATAAAAGAGAAGAATGGGTGAGAGGAATCCAGCATAACAGATATATATTGCTACAACAGACATCTCTAGCAATGTAAGAGGACACTGGAAAGGATCAGATCATACACAATGTACTTGAAAACGTGACAAAATATGGTTGTATGCTCCTGTAGGAAGATGAGATGATTGGTGGATGTGAAAAATAAACTTTACAGATAAAACCACTAGAAGTACATGGGCACTGTGGTGGTGGGGAAACCTAAACATCTCAGATATGACATTCTAAAGTAAAATATTTAGAAACTACAAGGAGATGCTAGAGAAACAAGCAGATGAAAATAACTCAAGTTTCTGGGATGGAGGCTGTGTCCCTAAAATATCAGGACCATGACATATAGCTGTTAATAGGCATATGTTGTGTTGAGAAGGAGGACCCCCACCGAGCTTAAATTGGCCATTACAGTGATTAAAATGCCAGAAGCCTTTGATTTAGTCTCTGAAGTTGTAAGGTGTGAAAGGGTTAGGGAAGGTTGGTGTGTGTTTTTTATATTTTAGAGTTAGGCGCTTCAATTTGATGCAGTTGCTAAAGTTCACAGGAGAGAAGTTTTCTCCATGCAAACCACCTAGTATGCAGGAAGCATGGCATACCAGTGGTTTCTAGCCAAATAATTTCAGATTATTTTGCAAGCCAGCAGAAACTATAAAATCCTGAAGAAGAAAAATCTTTTGATTTTATTAGAAGTTAGGGGGAGCAATTCCGCACAAAATGTTAAGCATACATTACAGGTTAAATTGTTAAGCACTCAGATTTAAAATTTAATGTAGGTAGAACCCAAACTATTTGGCGCTTTGTCTTGAATTACAGCTGGAAATAATTGGAAATCATTTCATATTTTGGAATTTAAGTGCAGGACTCTCCTTTCATAAAGCATCACTAAGCAAGTAGTGCATAAAACCTGAATACTAAATAATACTTCAACTTTGTGCATTAGATGAGGTCTCTGAATGGAATTCATGTGTTAGCCCTGTGTACTTTGTGTTACAATAATCCGGTCCAGAAGTGAAAAAGGCCTGGATAAATTATTAAGTACAGAAGAGCAAAAACACTGTTTTGCCACTGCTGCTACTTGGATATCTTAGATCTGCCTGGACATCAAGAAGCAGCAGTTGTAAGGACTTTAAGTATATTTTCTTTTAATCATGTGGTCCTCTTTCATTTTGTCATTGCTTGCCTTAAAAAAGTTTACTTAAGCTTTTGGTTCCTGAAAACCTTTATTTTTCAGCATTGCATTATTTTCCTGAATATCAGTGGTTGGTGGATTTCACAGTTGCAGCTACAGTGGTGTACTTGGTAACTGAAGCCTACTACAGTTTGATGAAGCCCTCACAGGAAATGAATATCAGCATAGTCTGGTGTCTGCTTGTTTTGGCTTTTGCCATGTATCCTTTGCTGTGTTCTTAAATCATTTTATTTATTTTTCAAATGATAACTTGTATCCCCCTGTAATTTGCAGATGGTAACAATGGATTGTTTATTGCAGAATTAACATTTGGAAAAGGATCCTGGATGTCAGTGGCATTATCAGTCTAGCTGTGTATTCTGTGTTCAATAGTTTGTTAATCTTAATACCAGATTGTATTTGAGTGCATGAATTTTACTTCATTTTTTTCTATAAAAGGGAAATGTTAATGCTGATTTATAAGTCTGCAATATCAGCCTCCTCACAATGTTGTATTTCTGAACTAACTTTGTTTTGCTGAACTATACAATCAAGGAGAAAAGATACAAAAAGGATTAAAAGGTGGTAGCAGAAATCTTTTGTGTTAATATGAGCAGTAAAGTACAGTACAGAACAATGTCCAGCTGCCATATAGACAAATATACTAATTGTTGCCTGAGGCAGGTCTGAAGGGGAATGTGACATTGAGAATAGGAATAGGAGGAGACACAGGGAGTCATTTGAAAGGTAACAGATTAGGAAGTGAGAAGGGGTGTAGACAGATGAGAGCAGAGAACTAAGTGGGGGTGGTATTGTACAGAACCTCCACGATAAAGAATTGAACATAATGTGGAAGTATAGTGAAAACTATGCAGAGGCATATAACATCAGAACAAACAGTTAGCTGCCTCTTTAGCTGGATATGTAGGAGACAGGAATGCATGAGGTAGGTAGTTGCAATAGTCAGTGAGAAATGACCAGGTTTCTACTTTTAGGGAATGGAGAAGAAACAGTTGACTTTAGAGATATGAGGTGATGAAGCACCTGGTTTACGTGAGAACCTGATTGTGAAGGGAGCAGCCCCAGAGGTGAGTTAGAAGGCAGACTGAATGACTTCCTTGCTGTTCCAACATCTACTAGCCAAATATCGAAAGCTGCTCTGGTAGAATTAATACCAAAGATGGATACCCCATGAGAGTTCCTGTTGTGACCCATCCTTGGTATCGGGTAAAACTTTGGAGCCCTGATATTGAGTTAATGAGCTAGCACAACTTTTGCATCTGTACATGTCCTGCTCATCTATATCTGTTAATAGAATGTATGCCTTGATTGTACTGATAAGGTACCTGAAATAGCCTGAAAAAAGATGAGATCCAGAAAACGTTCTCAGTAAGTTACTAGTTGGATTGTCATACTTGGCTTTGGTAGCATGGTACTTGAAAAGCAGGGATTCAACTAATGTAAAAATGATGTAATCTCATTTTGTTGTACCCTAAAATACCAATATTTGACTTATCTAATTTAGGTCTAATGCATATTCATGCAGGTTTTAAAATAGGCAAAATTACCTTGCTTCTTTCTTGGCAACATGTGCTCTAGAAGTATGAAACCATTTCCCTGGTTTTTAGGGAAGGAAGAAGAGGGAAACTAGTTGTGTACATACCTTACCTCAACTGGGAGAGCAGAGGTAAGGAAGAATAATGTACGTTTGTGCAGGTGGTTAAATCACATTATGAAAGAATGGAAAGTTTGGCAGCAGTCCACTTCAAAGACACCGTATTTCTCCACTGGCTTTCACACACTAAGGGAGACCTTGTTCAAGGCATGGTACTGTCTTACTAGAAAGTAACTGGAAATTAGTGTCTAGTCCTCATGCAACTTAAATGATGCTGTAGCTAGTATATCAAGTAGTCTTTATTTATTGTTATAAATGATTTGGATATAAATCTTATTAATATAAATAACAGTTATATTGATTCAGTTTAAAGTCTACAGAAGATACCTATCCCAGGCTGTAGGTGCCCTGAGAGTATTTAAAAAAAAAAATACAATCCATGGTAGAAAATAACGTCACTACACATGTAACCCAACCCTTCTCCAGTGAAGGTAACAAAACTAATCATGTCCCTAATTCTGCAAGAACCTCTTTGCTCCATAGACCTCATCCTTCTCAGTACCTCAACCAAAAACACAGGTTTTACAGCACCCCCATAGGCTATATTTGAGCTATTGTAAATTGAAGGGGGGAGTGGATTTCAAAACTTGAGGAGCTTTCACATTGAAAGACTGGGAGCTTGTGATAGGACATTCTAAGGGAGTACCAGTTCATACTTTTCTGCTGATCATAATTGTGGAAGTATTGTATGGCCTACCTATCCCTTTCTGCCTTCCCCATTTAGGGCCTTAAGTCAAAATCAACACCTTAAACTCTATGTGGAAGCCAATAGGCAGCTAATGTAGTTAGTGTAAAAATAATTCAGGTGCTTGGGCAAAGATACACCCCTGAACATTTGGGTGGCTGCATTCTGGACTAGATTCATTTTCCAAATAGTTTTAAGGAGTAGCCCATGTGTATATATATTGGAGAAGTCAGAGGTGACAGGTGTGGATTATGATAGCATTTGAGAGAAATGGTTGCAACCTTCTGTTCAGATGCAGGTGATAAAACACAGACCTGGTTGCAACTTCCATTCCATCTATGAACAAGTGTAAAGCCAACAAAATCCCCAAGTTGCATTTATGGGAAACAGATGATGGACATGCATATTTTCAGTCTCAAAGGTGCAGACACAGCCATTACTGTATCTGTTGGGTATTTACCCCAACATTTCTCAGGTTTATCTGGATTGAGCCTCAGCCAACTTTTCCTCCTTGCCCCAGACTCACCCAAGCACTGAGAGAGGTTCTCTAATTGCACTCCGGATTGGATGAGATGGAAACAAAGAGCAGGCATCATCAGCATATTAAGCCCCTTAGTCCAAATTTCCTCTGTAGGCTTCCTAAAAGACCTCAAACACTGAACAAGAGGTGTGGCATAGAAGAAAGTTTCCAGGACCTGTACATTAAAGCTCATGAGGCAGAAGAGCTATTACCCTCTGGGTTCTCTTTAAGAGGAAAGAGTGAAGCCAGTAGTAGGAAGCACCTTCCAGTCCCATGAAGATCTGCAAGTGATTTGATAACTTCAGGGTTAGTGGAATTGCAGATGATGATAAATCTAATATCAGCATGGACACCTAGTCTTCATCCACTTCCCAGGGGAGATCATTGGTCCTTCTGTGTTGATCATACTCTTTGCCATAACCAAATCAAGATTGACACACATCCTCTCAGGGAATTTGCACTGCTAGGATAGTTGGACTACCCAACTAGTCCAACTTAAACTTACCTCAGCTCTCATACTAAATAGTATGTCTATCAGATCTAGCTCTAGAATAGGCGAATCCCTAGATTTTTAGGTTGGATGTAAAAAGCAGAGCTGCGCAACCTCCTCAACTGTCCACCTTCAGATCATGCTGCACTGACTAGCCAGCAGAAGCTAGCTGTGTCAGGATTGGCCAGCGTTTGTCATCTAGCTGAGTTTGTTATACATGAAAGGCACTGTGTTCTTCTTAAAATATTATGGTTTTTCAATGCGTAGTTAGCCACTGACTTAGCATTCTTTGTTTCATATTATTGAATGCAGTCTTTATCTTTCATTAAATCCGCCCAAGTGATAAAAAGCAAAACAAATGGCACTAAGATTAGATATTTCAATATAGATTTCTAGCAGATTTAAATCTTTTCCTGCCTTGTTTTCCTTTACTCACAAACAAAGGGACCAAGGATTTAAAGGCCTTGTAATTAAATTCCTTTTCTACAAACTTCCATATCTCTCAGCATCTGACAGCATTGCCACCCTCTTGGCTTGTCTATGGTGGTCAGTGAAGGAATGCTGCTGGACACCAGCATATAAGAACGGCCATTCTGGGTTAGACCAATGGTCCATCTGTCCTGACTCTGACAGTGGCCAGTGCCAATTGCTTCAGAGGGAATAAACAGAAAAGAGCAATTTTGAGTGATCCATCCCTCACTGTCCAGTCCCAGCTTCTGCTAGTTAGAGGTTTAGGGACACCTAAACACCTCTGAGGCAGAGTACAAAGGCTGTTGGGCGTGATCACCATCCTGTGTTGAACCCTGAACAGAGTCAACCAAATAATATCTCACCCCCAGATTGACCCCAGAAACCCACCCTGTTGAAAGCCTTTTTAAAGCTATGAGTCTAATTCCTGATGAAATCCACATTTAAAAAAAAATCTCCCTGGCCAGGATAAAGTCGTTGTCATAATTATTTTACTATCCTCCCCATGACATTGTCACGCTGAATCCCACCTGACCCTCCATCAGAGTTTAGGGAAATACGACATTTCCCAATGCTCTTGCTTTTTCCTGATCACAGATATCCAGACCCAGTGAAAAGCACCCCCATCACTCTGGAAGACATTATTGCCAGCAATAACTTAGTGCCATGCTGCTGAACTATTAGAAGTAACCTAACCAGGCAAGAGAGCCAAATTCTAGTCCCTTTCTGACCATGTGAGATGTTTTAAAATATTGTGACAAGCTTTCAAAAGAGAATATTTGGTGGAAATAATTATACCACAGTTGCATGAAACTCCAAGACAAAAATGAAGTTTTAAAATATTTAATGTATGGCTGTCTTACTATATCAGATTCCTAAGCTGATAATATTCTGCTTATAAGCCACATTGTTATATGCAAGCAAGCTGTGCTTTAGGAAGATTGTAAAACAAAACTGCTGACTGTAGGGGGTTTGGTTTGTAGTGGGTATGGTATTGAGATTTTTTTTAATTGAGCTATTCTTTCCCCCTTTATCTAGTTTTTTTAATACCACACATCAACATGTGATAGATCATATCTTAACATACTGCAATACATACTTTAAGGAACTGTTGTTTTAATACATAAGAAAATTATGTACAATAAATATTTTTGAATGCAATAAGTCTCTACACATTCTAATGTAATGTAGAAAGCAGCATATGACTGGAGTCCATTAAATGGAGCTCTCATGTCAACTGTTAAAATTGTACATCTGCAGTCAACCATTACAGTTGAGGAGTAGACTATATACAGTACTCTGCTTCTCTTCCTTTTTAAAAGATCTTAGCATGTGCATGGCTCTGCTTATCTGCAGAGTTTGCCTTCAGAAAGAGAATCTGG